ATCGCAAAAGTTAGGAAAAATATTTAATCAGCATTTAGCGTCAACAAATTAGAGTTAAACCAGTGTTTAATACGTGTCATGGCTAATTCACATCTGTCGTAGGCACCTTGCCATGTTCTTTCTCTAACTAATTGGGCAGTATCATCAGCAAAGCAGATGGCCCCATTCTCCTTAGTTGATTTCGTTAAGGAGTTAACGTAAATTAAAAAAAGTACGGACCTAGCACAGTACCCTGTGGGACACCACACTCCACTGGCCATTTGCCGCTCAAGCTATCTTGAACCTTCACCACCTGAGTACGGTTGGTGAGATATGAGTTAAAAAGTTGTAGAAGTTTCCCTCTTACACCATGTTGTTCCAATTTGCTGAGTAGAGTGCAGTGCGATGTTCCACAGTGTCGAATGCCTTCAACAGATCCAGGAAAACTGCAAGTGGCTTATATCCCTCATTAAAACTAGTTACTATAAATTCAGTGACCTCGTTAATGGCATCTTCTGTACTGCATCCTTTTCGAAATCCAAACTGATTTTCTGGTAGAACGTTTTCAGCTGTCAAGAAATTACAAAGTTCTAATTTGATGCATTTCTCAACCAGCTTACTAAGCGTACTTATAATTGCTACAGGCTTATAGTTGGTTTTTTCATTCTTGCTTCCGGACTTATGTATGACCATCTTAAAAAAGTGAAGACCCCCAAGGTCATCTAAGGTCAAATTAACCTTAAGAGTATAATTTTTATTATTTATATTCACCATCGGTATTAAGGTTTAAAGTCAGGCCTATAGTTTATTACAGCAACGCGAGATGTCAATGCTGTCGCCCCTATAGTGTGCCCTAACTTGACTTAAATGCAGTCAATGCAGACAAGGTTTGTAGTTTCAATTTGGTTTTATCCTATGCATAAAATCTAAGGAGAAGGCTTGGGAACGGGTAGCTTTAGCTTACAGTGTTGTGGAACGGTTGTAAGAAATGTAGATCAGCTAGAAAGACAATTTAAAAAAAAAAAGGAAGCTTATATGGGCTTTTTCATCCAGTAGGGCTCCAACAGTCAGCTTTGTTAACCTAAACCGGTCAAAGAATTCTATGTCGTCATATTTTTCGAAACAATCCACTCTCATCCTGTATCGCTTAATATAATTTTACCTATATCCTCTTCATCTGAATGGGTCGAAATTTGCCATTTAGATTCTGACATGAAATAACTAACACACAGAACCTATAATTTGCCAAGCTCGGCACTTTAAGGTAAACGTCACTTTTTCGTAATGGCTCCTTCAAAAACTGTTTATGGAACAGATTTTAGCAGTCGAAGGTGCTTTTTAAGAATAAAGTCGGCTTTTTCGTGATTATGGAACTGGCCGTTATTGTTCGACTGTTAGAGAAATTGTAACGGTCTTACTTGCTTAATCCAGTTCATACAGATAAATCCATAAGGCGAATATTTATCCATTTATCACTATTCGCACTGACAGCTAAGGAATTTTCCACTGAGAATTGAGATGAAAAGAAAACACAAGGATATACAGATGCTTTGGAGCCCGGCGAGAGTCAGAGAGATAACCAAAAACAGGTGTAGGTGAGAATTTTGCTCGTCCGAGGTGACTTGCAACAATTAGGGGTTAATTGCATGAATTGGAGTAGTAATTTACTATAAATCGCGTGCACTAACGAGGGTTTTTTGCCTCTGGAGAGCATTCAGAGGGCGCGAGGGTGCGAACTCTTCGCTTATTCTAAAAGTACCTACTTCCGAATGTGCGTCGACTAGTTCTGCCGGAGCAGGTTGCAAAAATCTAGAAAACAATGTGGCGGCTGACCAATCACAGCAACGAAATAGCTCCACTGCCTCATAAGGTAATGAAGAAACCTGTAATTTTACCGGTTCAAAGGGTTGTTGTTGCCGGTTTTACAGGCATCTATTTTTAGAATATTATTTTAATGGTAAATAATAGAGAGGAAAATTATATTAAATTAGAAATAACAAAATTTAAACTTGTGGGTTATTTCCGCAACAAGATCCAAACTTGGTATTTAACCACAGGCCGAGCATTAGAACCAAAATAGGCACAATATTCTGAATAACTCCTATTGGCCCTAGATTGAAATAATAATAACATCATTATGGACCAATATAATCATCGTAAGAAAGTCTATTGAATGTCTTTTTCAAAGTTCTGCTAATAACCTTATCATATATAAACCACAGCATATACAAAAACAATCAGCAGGCTAACTCTCACGCGCATCTTTTCTGCGCACGCCGCCATTAGGGGATAACGCTGTCATTAAACGGCAGAAGCGCCGAAATTTTATTTTATTTGTTTATTTCTGACGGAGGTGCGGTGTAGAGCGGAATTTAAGCTATGATTTTCAAAATGATTTTGATATATTTGTGTTGTCATTTATGGTGTTATCTGTTATCATTCTTGTATATTCAATAATAATAATAAATTAGTAATTATAAACATTATTATATGTAAGTAATAATAAATTAGTTTATTTGAAGCCAATACGACTCTGTCACAGGAAAGAAAAAACCTAAATTATCGTTAATCAGGCCCTGTTTCGTATCCCAAAATGGCAGCTAGGGACATTTTGACGATGAATTCCTTTATTACACGGGCTGTCACTCAAGTTAGCCTGCTGATTGTTTTTGTATATGCTGTGTATAAACTTTGTTTCATGAGGGTTCATACTTTTGACAAAATTTGTCTTCCTTTTCTAACAAATAGAAATTGACTGAAACAAATCAATGACGTCAAAAACGTTCGTCGGTTCTAAAGCCAGAGGTCATTCATTTTAATTTGTTGTAGTATGGCCGGATTAAATAAATAAATTTAGATTATTAATATTTTCACACTTTTATTAATTTCCATAAAAACCTAACGACCTAAGCTTAACGAAACGTGACGACGAATGACATAACGAATGACAGAATGAAAGATCGACTCAACCGTACACTGGACGTGTGAAATCGCCCAACAGACACACCTAACCTATAAAGGCGGGAATTTTCAAAACCATTTAAAAACTGACTACATTGTCAAAAAAATTGAATGTGTTATATGATTCCATCTACGACAACCAATGAACTATACGACAACCCTTTTTTTTCAAGTTATGACGTGTTCGATAACACAAGTATGAACCCTCGAGAAACGTACCTTACCACCATGTGGTGTTGATACATCTCATCTCTAAAGTCTGTTTTTTTTTTTTTAAGATAAAAGTCAAAATGACATTATGTTGGCAATATAATGTAAAATTGTCAATGCTTCAGATTTTTTATGTAGAAAAGGCTTATATTGCCAACATAGTTACTAAATTTTTGACTTGGGGAATTATCTTTAAAAAAAAAAAAAAACTTTATTTAGTTTTCATATCATAGGGCAAGTACACGATCTGACAGTTTGACACTATTGACAGTCGCCTTGAGGTAAAACAAAGATAAAATTACAGTGGTTTTTTAAGTTTTTAGTTACATTTTTTTAAATAAATACCTTTTGTGTGATCCACATGCCTATAATTTGTTTCGTTGTTAATTGTGGCAGTATAGCGCAAGGGATACAATATCCTTCCATAGGTTTCCATCAATTTTAAATAACAATGAGAGGTTTGATTCGTTAGCTCAAGAAAGAAGAGAAAAATTGATTAATGTCGTTAAAAGAGAAGATCTGATAGAAAAATAGATTGAATATATAGTAACTATACTTATATATTTGTTCTTGTGACACTTGGTTTTGATATTTGTTGGAAAAAACCTGAATTTAATCCATTATAGAAAAACCTAGCAAACTTCTGGATAAAAGACCACATAAACTGGAACATAAACACTTTACTATAACTTTTAAAACAAAATAACACAAAAACTTGTAAAAAAGCTGTGAAAACCGCATAAAACATAACCGGCCTAATCTACACGAATGTAAATAAATGATTTGTTTTACCTCAGGGCGACTGTCAAACTCATTTGTGACGTCACATGGACATGCCCTATTGGGCCAATATATGTCAAATTTTGAGCCAATGTGATCATCCGGAAAGAGTATATTGATTATTTGTTCAAGAGTTCTAATATTGGCTCTATTATATTATACATTCTGACATTAGGGTGTTGATATGTCTTTAACTTTAAGTTTCATTCCTCCTCAATAATTTGGAGGTCCCAATATCGGCCCTATTGAATAGACAACATCTGTTTTTTGATATAACACATGTTGTTTTTAACATTGAGCCGATCGTCTTGAACTAGTATGGGCTAATATTCATCGCAAAACTGTCTATGTAATGACTTCTTGAAATTCCGGGCGAACAGAGGCACAATTGTTTTTTTATCAATGGAATAGAATGTGCCTATCGTCATATCCAATCTATTAAAACGAACGATTGAGCCTATTAAGTCAATGGTTTCATCGGCGGAGCATCGTTCCTACATGCGTACTTTTCACCTCAATATCAATCGTATAATTTAACTACGTACCTACTCATCCAAAGTATACCTACATAGAAATTACTGAATAATATAAACAAACTACTTTAAAGCCTAATAAACAAATAGATTGGATTTTATATTATTTCTTTCATCTCTGCCACGTGTAATAAGTAAGTACTATATTTTGGACCAAATAAAAAACAACACCTTTTCTGGAGCACTCAAAATCATATTACATAATTAAATGATACTGTAAATATTGTAAAATTGTTGCCAATTTTTGAAATTCAACTCCAGTCTCAAGTATTTACTTCTGTTTAAGATGAAAAACAGTATCGTCGATATCTCATTTCATAGTCCACAGAAAATTTACCATTATATCTATTTTATTTATTAAGGTTTTTTTTTCGAATATAGACTATTTTGAATAAGTACTTCATAAATTCTATAAATCATACAGGGTGTGTCGCTGCCAAATTTAGGATTTTTGTCAAGTGAAATGTGTCTCTCTTGAAGGCAACTTGCTCTGATAAGGACCAGTTAGTGAATGACAAATCCAAGATTATTTGTCTAATGGAAGATCAGCAGAAAACATTGATCCGTGTTAACAAGCCTAAAACGGACACAAAAGCTGATCAACCGCATCATAGCTTGCAAGAACCAGCTGCAGGTGAGCCTATCAAAAATAAGGATGTATCTTTATCACTTTTAGAAGTTCAAACCAAAAAAAAACTTGATCAATATATAAATTTAGCGGGTCCAGTTCAAGTAGCTACAGGTTCTCCACTTACAACCAGAGAACCACCTACAAAAGATGTACGGGGCAATAACATCCAGCATAGAGGCATTATTCTAGGAACCAACAACACCGCAAATAACCACCAATTAAAAGCGGTGCCTAGAAAATCATCATCAATTTCTACCACTAAAATACATATCACTAGATTGGATCCTTTTACAACTGCCAGTGATCTAGAAGACTATATAAAGATCATCTTCAATGTTAATCTAAGGGTAGAAAAACTGACTTTCCGCTATCCAGACTCATACAGTTCCTTTAGGATGGCTGTTCCCAAACCGTTGGTTAAGGATATGCTAGCACCTGAAAACTGGTTGGAAGGTGTTGGGGTTAGAATTTTCAGGGAGAAACAAATCCGAAAAAAAACGGACCTGCATAGGAAGCTCGACCTGCATAAACCGAGGAAACAAGAGTCCAATCGATCCAGATAAGTTGACAATGTACTATCAAAATGTGAGAGGTTTGAGAACCAAACTAATCGATTTTTCTAAAAATGTAAGTTTGAATAATTATGACTTTATCCTATTGACAGAAACTTGGTTAAATTCTGATTTCTTAGATCCTGAAGTATTTAATCCACAATATTTTGTATTTAGATGTGATAGAAGCGCTAAAGTAACTGGTAAATCAGGAGGTGGTGAGGTCTTGATAGCGGTCTCCAAAAACTTTGTTGTTCAGGCTATTGACACCAGATCCAAAAATAGCAATATTGATGAGATCTGGGTGCAAGTTACTATTGGTGTTACTAAAGTTATTTTATGTAGTGTTTATTTTCTACCCAATTCTAAGCTTAACGACTATCAGAGTCATTTTACAAACATTGAAGAATTATCCCGAGTTTATTATGACTCATTATTTTGTATCACAGGTGACTATAATTTACCGAATATCAAGTGGCAATAGTCTGACACCTTATGTGAACTACTAGTAGATACTTTAACGTTTTTAGATTTTGGTCAGGTTAATTCGATTCCAAATGCCAATAATGTATTTTTGGACCTAATTTTAACAAATAAAGACAACTGTAATATTTCAAGTGCTTGTGATATTTTAGTGCCATGTGATGCTCATCACCCAGCTTCATTGATAGAAATTGAAATAAAAGATATTCTAAAGCCTCTTCCATATGAGGAATATGTATTTGATTTTAAAAGATGTAACTATGATAGTATTTCCTAATAACTGTATTGCTTTATTTGTTCCTTTTAAATTACTTAAGAGCAATTTTCAATTTCCTATATATTTCAATGATGATTTGAAAAATAACATAATGAAAAAAAAAAGATGCCCATAAACGATATAAATGTAGACTAGAGTCGAAAGATCGAAAAAGCCAGTTCCTCACTTCATGGAAAATTTTGGAAAAAGAAAACAAAACAAATGATAGCTAAAATAGGACCGGGACCGACCCCAGAACATTCTGCAAGAAAAAGAAGATGGGCGAATATAAAAAAAAAACAGACAGAAGAAGAAAGACGGTAAAAACAAGACCGGATTCAGGAAATTCTGGAAGAACAAGGAGGCAGGAAACTGGAAGGGAAGAACTTTTAAAGGTGAAATGGGAACAGACTGCGAAAAAATCCAGGTTTTCAACTGAGAAAGATATGAAGAAAATGGACATCCATCCAGACAGATGGAGTCGCAATAGGGAGTTCACTCAGCCCAATTATCGCCAACTTCTACTTGGAACACATCGAACAAATGGCACTGCGAACGGCCACAAAGAAACCTACTTGTTGGTTTCGCTATGTAGATGACACATTTGTTGTTTGGAACCATGGAGAGGCAGAGCTCGAAAACTTCCTTAATCATCTAAACTCATTAGAACCCAGGATACAGTTTATGATGGAAGTTGCGAAGGACAACAAAATTACATTCCTCGACGTCCTCTAAGAAAGATTACCCTCAGATAAACTGGGATACAGAGTATATAGGAAGCCGACGCATACGGACAGATACTTTAACAAGGAATCCAATCACCATCCTAAGCAAAAGAGAGGAGTCAATACAACTCTATCCGACAGGGCAATCCGGATTTGTGAATCCAGATACCTTCAGGACGAGATGCAACACCTAAAATCAGCCAAAGGATAAAGCAACAGCGCACAAATAACGAGAAACCAGCACAGGTGGCAGGGAGAGCCTTTCTTCCCTACATCAAAAATGTCACAGATGGCATAGGACGAATGCTAGAAAAACACAACGGTAAGCCTATCTACAAGCCCACAAGAACAGTTCAGCAAAGTCTAAGATCGGCCAAGGATCCTAGGGTACCTCTTAAAACAGCTGGCGTTTATAGAATTCCCTGCTCTTGTGGATCTGTATATGTAGGAACATCCAAACGCTCTATCAACACCAGGGTTAAAGAGCACAAAAGAAACTTTCAGCAGGGACAAATAGATAGATCAGCAATCGCCGAACACGTGCTTACACAAAAAAACCATGTCATTCGTTTCGACCAGACTCAAGCATTTAATAGAACCAAACATTTTTACATCAGACTCCACAGAGAAGCCATAGAGATACAGCAGAAATACCACAACAACTTTAACAGAAAAGAAGAGGGCATGAACTTGAACAAAAGCTGGTTGCCAGTTCTCCGAAAAACAAAGACCCTTCCTTTCCAAGAACGAGACAAGGAAAATAGCGTAATACAAGCCACGCCCACAACCCTGGATATAAATAACGCAAGTCCAACAACGTCGAATCCAGTCATCGGAGGAATACGGAAGAGAACACTTCGTTCTCTACCAAACCGCCTCTGAAGATGTCTACCGTAGCAGTAAACGAAACGTTAGGTAGGAATACTAATGGACCACGGCATTATAGCCCGGTGTGACGGAACTAGCTATCACCCCTTCTTGGGCTTTAGTCAAACCGCACCAGGGACGCCAAAAGTTCAGCAAACATTTCTGTGGGTAGGTAATGAATTAAACTGAATCGTCACGCTCGGATTTGTAACGCTCATTAGGGTACAGTCGGCTCGAGTCGACTTCAATGTTAATCTCGCCTAATGAAGTTTTCACTTCTGTCGTGTAGTGTTAAGCACACACCATTTTTTACAAATTTTGTTGAGACAGCATGTTTATTGTAAAGTACTCACTTTGCGCATTATGCAAAAGACGTAAAATTTCACTTCACGCAGTAGTGCGTAAAGTACCTAATTCACTTCACACGTAAAGTAATATCAATAACAGTTGTCGCCACTGTCAATTTAGTTTTTTTCTAGTGAATTACTTCACGCACTAGAGCGTAAAGTGAAAATACTTTACGCGCTAGTGCGTAAAGTATTTGTCCAAACTCATTTTTTTTTACACATATTTTGTTGATAGTTGAAAAATTTTTGTATGCAAGGTGTGTTAAGTACTTTTTTCACTACTAATCTGAGAAATAGTCATTATTCATTCTATTTTTCTAGGAAAAATATTAATTTCTCTCCCTAGATTAATAATGAAAATAATGAAAACAAACCTAGGTCAATAATGAAAATGACGTCATGACGCAAGGATATTGTCATGACGTACCAGGTTTCAATTGGTTCAATTTCAATTTCAAACTGTCAATTAAAAAAAAAATCAGGTTTCTGTATGTAGTACATACATCATAGGAAATAACCATAAGCAGTTGAGAGAGAGCAACACTTTCGAAAAGAAAAAATAATTTTAGCACAGATTTCAAAATCTATATATTCATCGGTAGAGAAAGTCAATCAGGCCTATGATGTATCCACTCCTGTTATTTTAACAGCTATGTTATAGCTCAACTTCTATACTTCTCTCTATTTTGACGTATAAACTAAACAGTGACAGGCAACTTAACGTTGCTGTTAAAATAACAGAAAATGATACATCATAGGCCTGATTATATACCTATCTTACGCATTATAATGACCAACTTCTCTACCTAGGTACATAATATACTATTTCTCCACTCATGTGATGTTCCCACTTGCCTTGTGATAAAAAGGTTTACTTTACTTACACACTTGTTGCATAAATAGCTGTTTTTTGTTCATTTTCTTTATTTATTTACAAAAATAATATGCCAATATAAGTAATTGTGTGCTTTCTACAGGGCCGCAACTAGAACCCTCGGCGCCCAAGGCAAGTCCAAATTTTGGCGCCCCTCCAATATTAGCAAAAATTTTTCAAATTTGTATGTACGGTACATGTAAACAAAAACAAAACAAACTGCACTGGCTCTCCACGAGTCTTCCTAGCTCGTGCCAAAAAATGCGCACTGGGTGCATACATAATAACGTCGGCAGAATCTGTTCAGCCAATGACATTTGTTCAGCACGACGGACACCAGTTTTCTGACGCTGTACGTCGCGGTCACCTGCGCAAAGCCAACTATATCATTAACATTCGCTGGATTATAGCAGACGTGCGCGGCTTTCAACAGAATGCGAGTTGTGCGTAGCGGACTGCCCTAACAAATACATAAACGAATGTTATGTGTCAATCCTGAAGTTCTTGCTAAAATCCTAGGACCGCTAGAACTGATTCAGAAACGGTTTCGAACCGATTCTGGTTGATCCGCGAATCCAGAACCGCAACTGGAAGTTCGGAATTTAGTGATCCGCGAACGCCATTACTTGAACTGCGCATGCGAAATAGTTTCGAACCACAGGTGCCCAATTCTCCAGTTACGACTAAAAATCTCGCAATCGACAAATCACGCATCTGAATGTCGAACGCGAATCCTAAACCCTATTCTCGGTCGGTATGCGAAATTAAATGACGCATTCGTCAATTGTCGAATGTTTGAACATGGCAACATCTAATTTTTTAGCATTGGTACGTTTTTGACAACTTTAAAGTGTCATAATCACGTCATAATTTTTGATGTTTCAAAAAAAAGTGGAGTTTTTGGTGAAAAAATATAAGTTCTATGTCCTATTTTGTGCGATAACGATTACGATTCGTAGTAAAGTAATGGAAAAAATAAAAATATACAAAGTTCTTTAAAAAGTGAACATGCTTACATTGGCTTCAATAGAAATTAAAGAAGCCCTAGTACTATCCCTTATAGGGCCGGTTTCCCAAGATTTTCAATAACCGCTAAAAACTCGATTTCTTCGTAATCAGCCATTTTTATGACAAAAATAAATAAAATTGATGCTCCGTGATTTCATCTCGCGTGGTCTTACCCACTCGTAATTATGTCAATCAAAAAAAGGCGACGGTGACATTCGAGAATTGGATTATGCCGAAAGGTATAGAGATATGCGATTCTCGTACGCGACATTGGGAAATCGTAATTCTAGAATTGGGCCCCACAGTTCAGAATCCTCACCCTTACCGCGAACGAAGCTATTGTAAAAGTA